AAGGGGGCTTCCTTCTAAATAATGTTAGAGATGTGAAGGACGGGAACGATCTCCAGAAAAGTGCAGAAAAACAAAACATCAGTTGAAGCCCAAAACAAAATTAACCAACCAAACCCAACACGAAAATATTTTCCCCATCCTTCTTTTTGTTTAGAGACAGAAAATTGTTAGGAATTTCGAAGCTTGGAAAGAAACTTTGTCCTGTATTTGGTTAAAAGGAGATGGGGAGAAGGAACCCTTTCCCCTCAATTTTTCTTGTCCCTACTTCCAGCCAGGCCCTCATACCAGGTCAATAAACATAGGCTTTCACAGTTAAACTTATTCCTTCAATATCAATTAAATGTACAAGTGCACAATAGATTTAAACTCAAAAAAGTTTGATGGTGTCTGTAGACTTGTTAATCTGCAGAGAACTCTTCCCCTTGACATTGCACCCTTGACAAGAGAGAGTTAAGTGGAACAGGACCTCCCCCCGCTTCCCAGTTCCTCTCCTATTTAATAAACTGCAAAGCTTTCTGGCTTTGGTTTTGTGCCGAATAGACTAAACCTTTCTTTGACATTTAAGACAGCTGTGCGAGGGCAAAGTTGGAGAACTGCAGAATACACTGTGATGTGTGCTGTGGTGTTCGGCCAAACTCCAAAGTAAATGTTAAGAAAATGAGTGGCAATGGAGAAGGGGAGCCCAGGTAAAGATGGGAGAGGATGGGAAAAATTAAAAGCAAGAACAGCAGAGGAGGCCAGGGTGTAAAACAGCACTTCCCCTGTCCCACTTCTGGAAGAGATGGGGGGAGGAAAAAAATCCACGCTGATGAGGTCAGTTCAAAAAACAAATAAGAGTCTCTGATTTTAACCTGGGTGAAAATAAGTTCAAAACTTTTTTTTTTTTTTAAAGCATACATATTGTATTTTAGCACTGGAAACCTAAAGTGGCTCTTGGTGAAAATCAGGTCAAAGTTCCAATTATTTGGGATGTTGCGAACTGCCAAGATCAAATGGAAGCCTCTGGCACCATCACGGTGAGGTCATGAAAGCAACAGCTTTCAACATCTGGTAAGAGCAGTCTCCTTCAAGTCCATTCCTGGAGACTTCATGGACACTTCTCCCCCCATGCCCCAAAATCCCTGTCCAGCTTACAGTCATGGGTTATTCTATTCCATGGGTAATTCCATCTAAGTATTAATCAGATCCAACCTTGTTTAGATTTTCAAGATCAGACAAGTTAGATGCTGTTTCCTGGCTGGGTACCAACATCTGATCCTCGAAGGTCTATCACTTCTAATAATGAAGGTTCTAATGGTCACAAATTAAACTGGCATGGACTAAGTAGTGGAGCTTTTCTTGGACTGTCCCACTGCTGGTGGGGGAATGACTACGCTGGGGAACACTCCCACACTGAGACAATCATTTCCATGCTAGTGTAAAGAGCATGCATAATCGGCATGGCTCAAAGCTTTCTTCCTTGCATGATTTTCCCCGCTACATGCAAAGAAGCCCGTCGCTTCAGAACTTCCAGCAGTTGCCTGGATTTCCATCTGGAACAGAGATTTTAATATTACAAAAGGATATCTCACTTTCAGCACACTTTGTGCCTTGTGCCAAATGGCAGCCTAGAAATATTTCAGACAGACAGACAGACGGACAGAACCATACAGTCCTCCCACTTCTCTTTTGCAGCAGAACCCTCCAACAGCACAATGCAGAGAAGACCCCACTACTTATGAGTCTACCAGTGTAAGGATCTAGGAGATCACCTAGTTCAAGCATCTATGATTACAGCTTCCCCAACATCCAGCCATCCAGCCTCAACCTATAGCAGAAAGGGAGGCATGGAGGGTGGGGAAGAAGAAAAAACAGAATGGGGGGGGTTAACGAGCTTTGTGGCTATTCCAAAAGGACCTTCCTTCCCTCTTGCCTCCATCCCATCGCTCTGAGTTCCAGGATAAACAACCTTCTCCATCATGAGAGCAAAACTTGCATCCCCACCACCCGAAAGCTGACAAATTAATTGCTCCAATCCCTCTGTTACTGAATCATGCCTGAACGTCAGCCATCCTTTACCTCAGAACCTGGAGGCTGTCCCAGAACCAATCTTTAAAAGTTTATTTTACTGATCAAAGCAATATTATTATTTTTTTTTAAAAGGAGAGCAAAGGGCGGCTAAGGAGCTGGGGGTGGGCGGAGAGAGAAAGGAAAAAGCCCTGCATTTGACTATATTTAGTGGAACTATTCAAGTAAGTGAGGGCTTGGCAACGGCCGCAAAGGAGATTGTGCAGCCTTGAAATTATAAGCAATGAGATGCTTATTCTGGATCGGGGCCAGGCAGGGCT